TACCCCGCCAACACTCATGTCTCTTACCGATGAGATCAACGAGGTCCTCACAAGGTCCTCGATAGCACCTCCGGCTCCTGTAACTGCACTGAATGGATCGGATACGGATGAGCCCAGGAGGACGTTATTCTTAGACCCACTTATCGAGGCTCTTGAAAAGGAAGAAGGTGCTGCGGTGTTGGAGATGACCAGGGGAGAGCTGGTGAATCGGTTGGTGAGGCCGTTCTTGGGCAATCTGGCAATGAACGCATTTGAGGCTAGGTATGGGGGTGGAGAAGCGGACTGGCAGGGTATTTGGGAGAGTGTGGTCAGGGACGCGGGGGCTTGAGCTCGATCAAGCTTGCTTTGCTTTCATGACATGTAGTAGTATCGTATCTTATACAGCTGAAACCACCATGCATTTCATGACCCAAGATGCTCGAACGGTTACACTTCAATGCCCTCGGTCTACCCAAGTGTCCTGATATCCTTTTGTAGGAGTGGGACAGATATTACGTATATCTGTGTTGTGAGGCTTTGAGAGCTGCTGTAACGTCGACAAGCTTTTAGGCAACGGAGTCGCAACAAACATGCGTCTCTTGGTGTGCAGGTGGTGGCCTTCTCATCCAACCTTCGGGTTTACTTCGTCCAGTATGGCCAGGTACAAGACAGCCAGATGGTTGCAGGCATCAAGCTCGACATTGAAGCGCGACCATGGGCGACACCAGCATACTATTCCTTCTGCGCCTTGGTCTCCGGTATAAGTTGGGCCAGCCAGCTAACCAGCCAATCTCGTGGGCAAGGGTACGCGGCGCAGTCAGGCAGAAGTCCGAACTTCTGTATGTCGAATTCGAGTTCACTCTGAGTCGTCCTCCTCTTCCTCTTGCATAATAGCTTCGCACTGCTCTCTAAGCTCCTGTACGCCAGCAACGCCCTTCCATTTATCCAAAATCCTCCTAACCTCTTCCCACTCTTTCTCCGCCTTCTCATCTTGGTCCTGGTCCACCATGTCCTGCAGCCGCCGTGGTGTGTCCAGAGCCCATTTTACAGTATCCTGCTGTCTCCGCTTCTTATCCGCATCTGATTTGTCTTTGTCGTCCTGCTCGACCCGTATGCTTATGCCCAGTCCCTGTTCTTTGGACTGGTGGCTGTCCTGTAACGAGGATGACAAGGACGCGGCTGTCTCGGCGATGTGGGAGATGGCAGGGCCGAGGGTGTGGGTTGTGGGTGCGAGAGGGTCCATGTTTCCGCGCATGCGTCGAATGGTGCTTGTTGCGGAGAGGAGTTTGGAGTAGTTGTCGTAGACGAGGGACTTGCGGTCGCTGTCTAGATTTCTGATCTCTGTTTCTATGTCAGCACTCCAGATGTCCGCATATATGCGTCGAGTGACTGCTTACGAGACACCAAATCTGCTTCGACCTTCAATACGCCTTTCAGTCCCTCTTTGGCAAGCAATGCCTCTACAAAGGCTTCTGCATTGAAGTCGGCAGCATCGAGCTCTGTGAGCGTCTCGTCTTCTTCTGGCCCTAACTGTGTTCTCGAAGATTCTTCGGATATTCTGGCATCTGGCGTGGCATCGCGGGGCGCGTTCTTGAGGCCATAGAACTCGCGAAGGGCCGCGCGGTTTCGGCGTGCGGCTGGAGGTGGGCGATGCGACGAGCTGCTGTCGATTGAGGTGCGGGTCAAGGAGGGGCTGCGGACCGAGGAACTGGCGCGTGGGGAGGCTATCGTCGACATGCCGTGGTATTGTTTGCTATTCTTTTGTCTGCTATGTTGTGAGGTTTGGTGGTTGGATTGCTGGAGCTGGAGCTTCATGTGAAGGGCCGAGGCCACCGTTGGGGAAAGAGCGCCCCACGTCATTCTACGCGTCGCGTCTCCCACATCGCGCCGCCTTGTTCGCGAACAAGCAAAACCGCGCATCCTCAAGAAGGGTGCAAGTGATCACCGACATGGCAGCTAATCTCGCAGCCGAGCTAACGCAGCACCTACATGCCCGCCATCTCTACCCTACCGCTGCCTGGCTGCAGGGCTTCCTCTCCACAACCCGACCCAACACGCCGTTGCCCGCCGTCAAGCAGACAGCCCACTTCCGCCTACTAGCTACCGACATAACCACGTCGCTCAGCCAGCCTGCAGGCTCCATATTTCCCGACGATGTGCTAAAGGGTACCACAAAATCCCGCATCGTCCCTGGTCCAGTCGTCTGCCAGGTGCTCGACGTCGAAGATATAGGCCACTCGCGCTGGTCGCAGGTCGAATCTATCGAAGCGCAGGAGCGGGGCGAGATGACAAAAGGAAGGGAGATTGTGCGCGTTGTAGAGCAGGAGAATGAGGGCACTGCTGAAGCTGCGGCTCCTGTGCTGAGCAAAGGGCCATTCAAGCTGCTACTGCAAGATGCCAAAGGCCTCAAGATCTACGCCATGGAGCTGAGAGGCATAGACGGGCTCAATACCAACATGGCTATGGGCGTCAAACTCCTCCTGAAGAACTTTGACGTGAGGAGAGGCGTAATCATGCTTGAGCCCGGCAATGTGCAAGTGCTAGGCGGCAAATTGGAGGCACTGGATAAGGCTTGGAAAGAGGGAAGAAAGGAAAGGCTCATGGCAGCTGCCAGGGTGACGGGATAGGCTGAGGGTGCTGGTGTTGTATGTGTTGAACCACTACATGATTTTAACAAAGTATCTATGCGTTGTCGTTTTCCATCTCTTCTTACATAGAGGCCTGCCGTATGGCAGCGAACCATCAAAACCGAGGCACTTTGTTATGTATCCTTCATGCTCTAATGAATCTAACACCAATTGCTACGTATCTGTTTAAAAGTAGTCTTGTTGATATCAAAGCGTTGGTCTCGATCTTACTAAGCGCTGTCATGCATTCCTCATGCGAATGTCGCGTCATAGAGAGATGTTGAGAAAGACGCGAACATGGTATATGCCGCAATTGAGTCTAAATGAATATGCCTCATTCGAAGGTATACCCAAAGCGGTAACGTTGTAGCGAAGACCCGCGTCGACGTTAAGCTAAACATTGTGGAGGACAAAGCGTGGCTGAGCAAGCTTGGGTCTGCGTGAGGCGTACACGTTTGCAACGCGTCGCGAAGTGAGCTACTTACGCGGGGTTATAGTGATTGTAGACGTGTGGTGGCTGAGGCTGTTGATAGCGCACGCTGGGCTTAGTACGTAGCCGACTCATACTCTCTCAGTCGACGCGGAGTCGCATTGCAGCATTGCGTTGCCATGGCACCGCAGCATGCATATATGCCACCGCCAGATTCGCGGCGTTGGCGGTCTCCTGATCAGCCTCGTACAGCTCAGCGGTGAAGTCGACCCGACGGAAACGTGTCGAACCGAGTCGTACCTTGATTGGGCCAATGTAAATCGGACGACTCAAGGGCAGCAAAGGGCTGTGCGTATGTAGATGAAGGTAGACGGTAAACGCAATTCGGTATGCGTAGCGACGGCTGAAAGCGCCACGAGATGCACTTTCCTCTTTTGGGATCGTTCGTCCTGGAAGCACGCCCTCACCGGAGCCGGAGTAGTGGAAAAGGGCGGAGCGGAGACGGATGCTCTGAACTGAACGCACTGTTCACCGTTTTTTGTTTGTGCCTGACAATAAACGCACAGATGCCATAAACTCAATACCTTGGACAGTCGGGCTGTAGGAGCGCAAAAGTAATCAAACTGTTCAGCCATCAGGCATGACGACGGTGCAAAGTTGCTGGTCGCAGATTGACTGTCTCGGAGCACGCAATAGCGACGCTCCAGAGAAGCGCATGATCGTGTCATCAAATTATACTGGTTCATGCAGGGTCGTTAGCGGGTTTGTCAGAGAGTATTTTTCAGCATCTCTGACAAAGCCAGCTTGATCTACCAATGGCGCAATTGATGCCCAGGTGTGATTGGTACCCTGGGTCATTTCACGATGGTTTGCTTGGGCGCGGGGGTCAGACTGAGCGACAGGTCCGCGTGGCCCGCCCAGCTAGACATCGACGGGTCGCTTGTGACGACGCGGACGAAAGCTGTGAGGGAGCGAAAAGCCGATGTGCTAGGCAGCCGGAAAACCAAGGTCCCAAGGCGTCGGCCGAAGCGACGACTCTATACGACGGTACGAAGGGTGCCGGACGTCAGCCTGTGGCTGAACTGCTGTCGTGAGCCAAACCAACCTCGCGCAATCGAGGGATTGGTGACCCCTTAGGCGAGACGGTGGACACGTTTGACAGGCACAGATTCAGGGCTGACCGCTCTGCCTGTACAGAGGTCCGTGGCTTAGCCCTGACGACAGCGCATCCTGGAACCGCAGGCAGCCAGGCAGCGCAGGTTCGCCCAAGCACCCTCTAGCTCGAACAACGCACCGCGAGGATATGAGCAGGGGAAACGCGAAAAGCGAAGAGCCCAAAAAGAAAAAACCCTGACGGCGCGATGTGGGCGGACGATGAGTGATGCAATGCATCGTGGGTTAGTAAACGCCGACAAGAGCGAGACCCCGATTACCCAGCGCCGTGGCATGTGAGCATGGGCAGACTGTATATCCGCGCAACGTCCGGCGTCCGCTTCGTAACGCCCGTATGTGCATGCGGGCGAAAGTCTCTACGACCGACCGGGCTGTATCGTAAGCCGCGCTAGCACCCCTGCAGTCGTGCCCAGGTGTGAATCATAGTGTGTTAGCTCACCGCATCCGTCCTTGCTCGGCCAAGAGCGGTGGAAACATGCCAATAATTCCGAGCACCCGTTATCCATCCTCCATGCGCCAGCGAAACATAAGAAACACGCCTGTCCTCGCTTCAGATTCCATCATCATCAGCTCACACACCAGTCCACCACTCCTCGGCGAATTATAACATCACTCGACAATCAGAGTCGATCAACATTACATCACACATCTCGGAATCTAACTACGCTCGGATCACCTTCCCTCCATTGGCTGCTGCTTTAAGGTTTGTACCCTCGTTCTCGACAGTCATAAAACCAACCTGACTCACAATTTTTAGGCTCTCATATACTACTGCCTTATACACACCAAACATGCCTTCTTCATCACACCTCCGCATTCAAACTTCCTTCGAGCCCTTTACGGCTGAGACTACCCGCTCCCACTTCATCTCATCACCACCGCAAAAGAAGCAGAAGATGTCTCTCACCCAAACCTACTACATTGCTGCCTCTGCCCGCTCCAAGCTCGGCAAGGAGGCATGCAGGGCCGACCACAACCTCCGCCTTCTCGTTGGACACGCAAACCTCCTCGACAGCCTCATGGTCGAACTCCAAGACGCCGAACGCCAGCAAGAGCAATGGTTCAACCAGACCATGGCCAAGGCCTCCAAGACTGAAGAGTCCCGACACATCCAATGGGCCGACAGTATCGCTGAGGAGGAAGAGGACGACGACTCGGAATCAGACTCCGAGTCCGAGAACGAGGACGACTTCGACATGATCGCACTCCCTCGCCGCATCGCTCAATCACCGGTTCAGATCAGCACAATGGAGGTGGACGAGGATGAGGACGACGAGGAGGAGTTCTACGACGACATGGAGGACGACTCAGAACTGGCTCTTACCCGGGTACCATCGCAATTACAATCACCACCCGAGCTCACCTACGAGGAAGAGTCCGACGACGAGTCTCCACCCACATCGCCCCCGCAAGCGTCCTTCAACTTCACCGAGAAAGAAGCTATGCTCACAACAACCTTCTACGACGCCAAACCACAATCACAAAACATCGAAGACCATCCGCTATTCATGGATACCACCGCTCCGCTCATCTCAAGTTATTAGGCCAGCACACCACCATGTTCCGACCTTTTGATTTTTGATCCAGCGTTTTCAGCGAGCGAGTCCTTTACAGCATAGCGTAGCATTTTCGAGCATTATATCCTCTGTTTTCTTTTATTGGCATATACCGCAGGGCGGTCGGGATCTTCACGCAGGATCTCACGAACAACTCTACTCAGAAATTATTGGATGGATACGGGATAGGAGGATTTGGGATATTGGTCTCGAGCGGTTCGACGTCTCCCGAAGGCAGTGGTCGAGACTCCCGCCATAGCTAGAAATTTCAATGATGATCATTACACCCACAAAAACAATCTCCACGCTTTTCTCAGGTGATGCGCTGCTATCGCTGCAGGCTGCATGCTAATCGACCCTTAGCAGGTCACAGGTACACTCCCCATGCAAGACTGATGAACTGTCAACAGCACACGACACAGCAACAGACCCCACGCATTACAGTTTCCTGTCAACATGCCCAGTCACACATTTGGTGCTGGGAAATTCCTAGGGTTGACCGACTTTTGGCCAGTGCGTCAGACCCTGGCCCCTCGCATGCATCCCGCATAGGGCGGGCACTTCGCATCGCGGACGCGGCTGCTTTTCGCCGAGCGCGCCTTGCATGGCTGAGCGATCTGTCGTCGCAACGCTTGCCTGGTGAAAGTGCACTTCCGGTCAATCACCTTCGTGTCCCCGCATACACAGAGCAGGCGTTGCGAGCGTGATTGCGTACACCGATCGCACCGCCCCACGCACCGCCGAGTGACCATCTGCGTCTGCCTGGGAAGATCTGGTGTGTATGCAAGGCATGCAGCCGCAAGCAGCCGGGTCAACTCGGCGTTTGGTTCTGCCCACGTCCGAAAAGTGTGCGCAGGCAGACAGGCTGCTCGGGGTTTGAATGTATCCGATCGGACACGACAGGAGCTCGCGTACGACGGTCACGTTTGGTTCCGCTCGGGCGAAACGCGGACACATCAGCCAGACTCGAGCGGATCAGCTGGAAGCAGACTATCCGTCGCATGCAGACATGCATCCTCTATTCGCACTCGCATCTTGATGCACTTGACAGCTGTAGGATGAGCGGTCTATGGCAATCTGTTGCGAAACCCACTCGTCGAGGGCTTCTGGACCGCGAAAGCTTTGATCTGAGCAAGGTCTCCCGTCTCCACACTGTCAGAAGTTGAAGACGGAAGTTACAGCGTCGATCTCTCCTTTTCCCCACGCTCCACTGCTGTCGCGGCGATACCGGCACTGACCCTCCACGATGCTCGTCTCGAAACGCTACCATGGCACGAGAGATGATCAAATCTCATATCAGACTCGGTACCAAACATCGAGTCAAAACATGTCCATGCCCGCAATCTCGAGGTTTCAACATCTCGTTTCGACATGGCGGTGGACGAAACGATTCATACAGCTAATCTTCTCATAGCCATCGTCGATTTTGCTTTTACTAGAGACGGACTGCCTCAGTCACACCCGCTAGCTGATGCTGCGCTGTGGTTCGCGAGGCCTAGTGAAACAGGTACGAATCTAGCTTGCGCGTAGCCCGCTCTACGCAATCCGCTTGAATGAAGCGAAACCCTGTTTCCAAGTTACGGAGGTTTCTTGCGATAACGTGTCATCTCGAACATTGCTGAGCTGGCATGCCAACTCAACTCCTTGGATGTTTCTGGGCCGCGTCGTGCCTAGCAACGCCTCACGTCCCAAACATGCTGCCCTGTTCCTGAGCGTTCTCCCATCCAGGGAAGTTGGGGCTCAAACAGGGAAATGGGGCGCGCCTTAGGCAGCCACGATCTGACGATCTGATCATCCACGCCAACATCGTCCGCGGTTACGCCGTGGTGGCTGCGCAACCAAGTAACACGAATTGTCACTGAAACCTACCTTGGTAGCTATCATCAACAGTGTCGCTGATGTCATGCGCACGACCTGGACCCCATACAACTTGGACCCTATGCTGTGTGCATCTCACTCAGCACGATATGCTGGTCATCGTTTGACAATGGTGACAGAACGGTGAGTGAGTGAGGCTTTAGATGATCGTCAATAGTTCACCAATGAGAGTGAACCATGCTGCGATGTTGATCATCCGGGGCGGAGCGGACGTATGTAGAAAGCCGGTGATAAGATAAGATAGATTGAGCCACATCATCAGCCACGTGCATGATTTCGCGAGCGGTCATGACCTCCGTGTTTCCCCCTCTCCCGCAAGTTTGCGATAACCGTTGCTCTTTTTCCGAGGTTGCTTGCATCATCAATCCCTGATCGAGTTCTGGACTCATCCGCTTCGATAAGCTGGTTCACATGATGACGCTGTCAACGGTCAGGGCGGAACCAGGGTCTATGACATAGTCATGTCGAGCCGGACTCCTCGGACGCGCTCTCCTCGCGCGCCGGGGAGCGGAATCTTATCTTTCCATCTCGACGGTTCGACGGCCTTACCGGATACGGCGCACAGCATGCCGATCAGTCTCATCACGACAGCAACGGCTTCCGCGGTTTGCCAAGCACTCCGTCGTACTTCGTATCTTTGTCCCAGATTGCAAACGCAAACCTCTCTCACACAGTTTCGAGATTTCGAAACAGAGTCTTCAACGGCCAAGTTGCCCGTCGGCTAACGCTTCCCTTCTCAGCGCACGCAACGTATCCAGAAGCGGACGTACGTCCGGATCCGCTCGAGAACCTCGCGCCGACCCGCACCGAGGCAGCACATGTTGTGCAGGAAGCTTCTAGCAGCTAGCACGGAACAAAAGAGCCCTGGAGTCGTTTGGGCAAACTCAACGGCCACAGGAAGAAAATTTGACGGAAAGAAATGCCATGGCAGATGGTGACTACCATCCAGGTAGATCCCAGTTCCCGAGGTCAACGCGTTCCCCTCATACCAGCACGTGTTCTGTGAGTTTACCCATGGAGAATTTTCTGCCTAGTATGCCCGGTACACCAGCACCAGTGGACAAGGAAATTCTTACACAAATCTACGAAGATCCACGAAGGAAAACTTTTTTTCGTGTGTGCGAGTACCGAAATCTGCACTTAGCGTACTGTGTAGGTGTCACGCCATGGTCGGGGCTAGCACCTCGGGAGGCTGGTACCTGGATGTTAGTCTCGTCCGAGCCTCGGGTGGTGTACACCGCATCATCGTGACATTTCTGCGTTGGTGTTGAGGCGCGTGCATGCCGTGGTGTGGGTCGGTCTGCGGTAGCATGTGCCGCGGCAATGTAAAGGAAGGTAGGTAGTACACGCACAATACGCTTGGGGAAATTTGGATACGCAGCCTGGTTTCCCGTTGCTGCCGTAAAGCGGCGCGGGATTCAGGGTCTTGCAGAAGTTTCTTCTAGCAGCTTATTCATACTTTCGTATTCTTCTCGAATGGTCGGTAGTATGGTATGGTACGCTTCGGCTTTACCGACATGAAGCCACTGTGGCGCCTTGATCAGGATAAGGCGTTGTTGAGGTCAAGCTCAGCTGGTTTTCACGGCAAACACCGTTTTAAGGGGACTATTTCGAGTTGAAGAACAAAGATTAGCATTGCCTTCTTGGAGTATAGTCTTTCCACCTGCATTTCAGCCCATTCCTAGCGGAATCGAATCTTTCAGGTACGTGCAGGTTCAGGGAACATACTTGATATGGTGGAAGTTGAACGTTGCCAATTTGCATCACTAGATCTTCTTCATCCGTCAATAAGTTGAACACGGTTTTTCTTCACAAATACCTCTCTTTCCGACACTTGTCTGCTTCAACCGGCCTGCCAAAGTATCATGCGCATACTGTACGATGCCTATATATACCATCCTTATTTGCACTGCTCTTGTAGAGGCTGGCAGTAGCTCATGAACTGTCTGATTCAGGTTATCGGTAAATCGGTGTGCAGTGAAGACAAAGTCTTTGGTAAGACCGACGTAGTCATTTGTACAGCGTGCCTTCTCACCACACCTGTGCACCTACCGGATAGAATAACGATGGTAGGATTTGATGCTAGTGTACAATGATTTCGTGACAGCACACATATTCGAAATTGTATTCTCGAGATATTGGTCAGACGATGGGCTTGCACTTTTAGTATGTTAATTTACAGCGACGTACATTGGGCAGAGAATAATGGTCTTGGCCTAGAACACTCGCACATCAGGACATGCGTATGCGATGACATGTGAAACACAAACTCCGCAATTGTTGTCATGAAGCGAAGTGATTGTGATCAGATATGTGGCTCAGGTGGCGCGTCAAGCATTTTCAAAGAAGCCGCAGCATGGCTTCGCAATATCATCTCTGAAACAGTATTTTATTGCAACTGATAAGAAACTAGCTACGACACGAAGAAACAGTACAATGATATCTCCGGCTCCAGCTTGTCAGAGGAAAAGAAGGTAACAAGCTTGCCCCTATACCCCATTTCGAGCGCGTGGAATAACAACGTGGGTGAGCTATGTAGGTCTTGGATGCTAAACTCAAGACACTAAAATGGTATACAAGTCTTCTTCCGTCGAAGTAAATACAATCGATGCATCAATCAATCACGCCCACTTATCCCATGGTGCCGATTCCCGTCTATTCATGAGTCTCCGAAATTCGTAGTCTATCCTGGCCTGAGTCATCCCCGGTGGTTCAGGGCGATCGTCGTATAAATCGCTCTCAGACATATCGTCCCATGTACGAAGGCATCTTTCGCATCCGCATTCGCTGCCGTTGCTGTAGTTTCTGCAATACAGGTCGTCGCTTTCATGACTCCATTCTTCTTCGCTGCCGGTGTGTTCTTCGTCTTCTTCTTCGTTGTCTTCTTCATCTTCTTCAGAGTCTGATTCTTCAGTAGCGTCGCTTCCCGAGTCATGTTCATCGGTGTCCTCTTGTATACAGGACATCATTAGCCTTCCCGGTTTCATCAGCCTTCCCACCTGGCCCATGAGGAATGTAGTATTCCATTCCATCCTCGCATACCCATTACCCAAGAACCATATTTTCAGATCGCTCCCAGTGTACCTTAGGCTCACGATCACGGGGTCTAAGCTTGCATATTCTGGTCTCTCAAAGGGATGACTCGTAGCTATACCAGGTGAGGCGCTTTGCTTCATCCAGAATTGGTCCACCACCATTTGCTGCTTTGTGGTCTTCACACCCGGTGCTTTTTTCTGGAATACGAGCATTCGTCCATCCTCGGGATTAATCCAACAGTGGTCCGGGCCAATGTATTGCTCCCAATACTCGCGGCAGGCTACATGCCATCTCGTGTTGCCAAGGCTCCCAATCGGTATCTGCTCGCCGGCCTCCAGACGTGGGGTGACCTGCTCCAGCCATTTGTCTACCTCCGCTTCGCGTTGTATGTCTTCTTCCAGGATCTTTGCCTTGAACGCATCGTGTGCTCTGTCGTCGTGGGGAGATGTACAGAGCTGTAAATATTGTTGATCGCGCACCCTGCCACTCGTATGTCTTGATGGATCCTTGATGGGGAGGTTGAAATCTTTGAAATGCAAAGTATTGGTACGCTTGTCAGTGGCTGCTGTTGTGCCATGTTGGTCGTCGTGTGGCCGCTTTCTCTTCAGGCGCCCAGGGTCGTTCGCAGGCTTGCAGGAGGACGTTATGTGAGGCTCTGTCATATCTGGAGAGCGGACGGAAGAGATGGTAGTTTGAGTGGATGAGTGTTTGATGATGGTTTGCGAGCCATAGATAGATTGTCCTGAAGCTTGGACGACGTCCCTGACCGCTAATTAGTCAGTACAGAATAGCCGATATCAGCAAGCCTCGGAGCGACAACACAGACAACCAACACAATACATCGATAGTTTGCCTATCGCTCCGACAACATCAGATGGGCTTCAGTAAGGGTGCTCATGCCAAAAAGAATCTGTACAACAGATCATTAGCACACAACAACGTCGCTTCATCTTGCACATAAAGGCATACAGTCACGACCCCCAACTATATCTTAGATGCGTATTCTAACGATGGATTGGAAAATATCTACGTGCACACTAGTACTGAAGATGTGTAGCAATACAGCCTATCCTACCACTCAACTCGATCTTTTTGAAGTACTGCTTGACAAGCAAGAGTCTACAAGGAACTCTCACCCTCCTTCAGCGAGGTAGTTTCATCAACCTTCTTCTCCTCAGCGGAAACACTGACGGGCTTGTCCTGAGATTGCTTTTGCTCCAAAGGTGCACCCTTCACATCAGCCTCGTTGTCTAGGTCCGGACCAGAACCAGGGAATGCACCGGGCGCATCGGTAGAACCGGGTGCAGTTTTGGAGACTAAGGGTTCTTCTGGCGAGAGGGCAGATGATACCTTGGAAGCAACTGATCCGAACGCTTCCGACACTTGAGAAGTGGCTTGCTCAAGAGTTGATGGAGCTTTCTCCTTGACCGCTTCGGTCGCTGAAGTAGACTCACTCTCCTCCTTTGACGTAATCTGTGCAAGCTCGGGCTCTTTTGGTTCTGCTGCAACATTCCGACCCGCTTCACCCTCAGTGAGAGTAGGTTCGGCCGTCTTGGTCGAAGCACTGAGTGACTGCTGAATCTGAGCTGCCATCTTTGCAGCAGGCACCTCAAGATTACCATCCTGTCCAAAACTCCAGACGTGTGTCACAGGGCCGAAACTCAACGACTGCCTTGGTACAGCAACTTCAGCAGTAACAGTAGCGGCAGCAGCGGGTGACGGAGATGCAGCAGGCTTCCTTCGTTGCGGACCCTTGGCCCTACCCTTGCGAGCATCTGGAAGTGGTGCTGTTTCTCTTTGCGCCTCTTCTTCTTCCTCGGGTTCACGCACCTTAGGCGGTGGATGAGGGCCAACTCCAAGTTTGCTGTTGAGGTCTTTCAGGAAACCAGCCTGGAGAGCCGCAATCTTCGAGCCAGCAGGTCGGGCGGGAACGGGCGGTTTCGCCTTCGTCTGGGGGGAGTCGTTCTCGCCAGTCTGCGAGTCGACAGTTGGAACCTTCTCCGCTGAGCCAGTAGATGGCTTGCTTGGGCGTGCAGGTATCTGTGGCTTCGGTCGGTCTGGGATAATGGGTGCTTTCTTGTCATCGGCAGATGGTTCCCTCTTGGCTGGTCGTGCCGGAATACTGGGGCGAGCCGGCACCGGGGGCTTTTGGTCAATTGGGGAGTCGTCGGCATACTCATTCGTATCCTCCATCTGAGGTGTGCTAACAGTAGTCTCGTATAATCCGTGGGATGGTGCATCCTCCCAGATATCTTGACTTGGGAAGCGTTGCTGCATTCCAGGGCGGCCCATGGTCTCGTCACGTACTTTTCCGAGGATCTTGTTGTCTGCGGCGAACTGTCTAGTGTGGTCGGGGAGAAAAGACTTCTGATCTTCCTTGTTGATCTGAGTCTTACGCTGCTCCTCGGTGTTCGGGTCTTCAAAGACCTTCGCAGGACTCACGCTATCGTTACCACCAGCAGTCTTTGGCTCTTCTGGCTCTTGAGGAGTATCAACAGTAGTTTCGAGCTGTAAGCTGCCAGGGGTATCCTCCCAGACATCTTGACTGGGAAAGTGGTGTCGGGCGACACTGGGACGCTTGAGCTTGTCGACCTGAGATTTGGGCTTCTTGGTGTCCTCCTCATCCTCCGGAAACAGGGGCTCATACTCCTTGTGCGATTCTAGTGGAGTACTGCCACGATCGTATTGTGCTGGGCTGGGAATGACACGTTGCTGCTGCGTGCTGTTGTTCCGACTCGAGCTCCTGCTGTGCGTGCGCGGCTTTGTGACATATTGCGGGTTGCCATCTTCATTGAGCGTGTATTCGTTGCCATGGCGCTCCATTTCAGGCGATACAGCAGGCTGTCTCCATTCGGCGTCTGGGTGTTTCTTCAGCTCATCGGAAGCTAGAATGGGCGTGCCATATCCGCGCTCAGTAACCCATCCACCTTTCTCAGCTGTGTTTCCGCCCTCGGGGCCAAGGTCTTCGGTTGGTGGATCGTAGCCTCCGCCGTGAACCTTGCTGGAGCGATGCGCAGGAGGGTCGATGTGGATGACCTCGCCTTTGTCATTGACCTCTTGGCCCGCTTCGTTACGGAGGGGTGAGTCGACGTAGCCGCCCTTGATTGAAGCAGGGCGACCCGATGATTGTGGTCGAGGAGAGGCCATGCGCGAAGCATATTCCTCTGTGGCCCTGTAGCCAATCTGTTCGTCGGGTGTACTGACTGCATCCCGACTCGTACCTGTAGAATATGATCAGCAACAGCTGATGAATAACGAAGCCGCAATTGACTTACCCATCCCAACATCCTGAGCCCTAGTGTGTACCAGCTTGTCGAGGTTATCGGCACGCCAGTGGTAATCCTTCCTGTTCTCCTGGATGTGAGGACCGTACTCGCCGGCCTTCTCGCGCTTCAGATCGTCCGGGTGCTTTTCGTACCACTTCTGCTCAAAGTCGTCTGTTGAGATCTTGCCGTGGCCGTGCATGCCGTAGCTGCCAGGAGGCCCGTGGAAGATTTCACGGCCGCTCTTGGTGCGCCCGTGATGGCGACTACCGGCCTTCTGGTGGAAACCTATTCCTTGCGCTCCGGGCTGTTGCGCGTAGGGCGAAGGGCTGGGAGCTTGAACGTCTCCAGCATTTCGGAACATGGGTACCTGAACACCAATTTCAGGAATGCCATGCTCGTCCTTGTCGTTGTAGAGCGAGCTGGGGCGCGATCCAGCGGAAGATCCTGAACGTCCAGTCTTGGCCTGAGAGACCCTATCGTCGACGGACAGCTGCGAGCCGACGCCAGCAGCGAGCGCTGTCTGTGAATCGGTCCGCGTCACCGCCTGGATCCTACTTTTGGCGGTTGAGCTTGGGACCGAGGCTGTAGGAGCATGCAGAGGCAAGTCTCCTGCCACGTTCTTCATATGTTGTGGAGAGCCGCCCTGGTTCTCCGGTGTGAGGGTCTTTGACAGGTCTTCGAAGCTGGCGTATTCATTGCCTTCTTCTCCGAGAGAGGGCATGGACACGCTCGGTGGGCGGGAGGGCAGATCGGTGCTGAGGCGACCGCCCTCTCTAGGCGGTCCACCGTGTACGTAGGTCGGGTCGTTGAGCGGGGAGCGGGCGTATCTGTCTCCAGCGGGAGAGACGGAGCGTTCGACACCGCGCTTCGGGCGTGGGGGGATCTTGGGAACATCCATATGGGTACCCTGCGCAGGAGAAGAGCTGTTCTGGGCCCGCGCTGGGCGTGGAGGTATCGTTGGTGGAGCACTCATTGCTTCTGTGTCGGTTGCTCGGCGGGGATGTGGGGTGTAGGTGCGGTTGAAACTACAAGTCGTTCAATGTCAGTGACAGATCCCAGCCATTGAATGATGGCGATGTGCAGCGTGAGCGAGCTGAGAAAAGTGCTCAGGTCTGGCTCGGGCAGTTTCCTGCACGTCAGGCCAATAAGCGCGGCTGCGACTTGAGAGCCCAATGATGCTGCACAAAGCGCATGTGCTGTACTGACCTCGGAATCCGCAATTCAAGTGGAGACTGGAAGTGAGGCTGGCAAGAGGGGCAGATAGCTTGGTGGGATACAGCCAAAATGGCGCAAATGAATCGGTCCTGGAAGCTGGGATGGCGCACTTATGTAGCAGAGTCGGAGAGCTCCAGGGCCTGCGACCCGCATTATGGCGTATGGGCCTGCACGCGGCCATCATCGTCACCCCCACACCCTGCATAGGTACCTACCACACGTTGTTTGACTGCGTTCTTCCATGGTCCAGTCGTTGTTGCCACACATGCAATTGTTGTAGTGGAGATGTTCGACACGTCCACGTCAACTGCGCTGTTGACAGATGCATTGAATCCATGTCCCACATGCTGGCTGACGCTATCCTAGATTGGGGACTATGCGACCGCATCAACGTGTTCGCAGCCAGGGACGTCCAACATTGATCAAGACTCGCACAAGTCACATTGCAAAGCTCAGCACATTACATGTGCATTGTTTGACTTGCATCCATCAGCTGCGCTGGGTGTGGCAGGGTGGCAGGATCTTCAACGCCTCGCAAGCTCCGGCACGTTAGCGTTCCCCGCGCCGAACAAGTGTGGTTCCTGGCGAGATTCTGGCAGCCAGTTATCGTCATCCTAAAAGCGAGCAGGTGCCAGGCCAAGTTTGGCGTTTCCGCTGTCGTGGTCTGACACTGCCTGTGCTTGTCACGGCCTTCCCAGCAACGATAGAGTCAAACTCGAATGGTTGCTGAGCAGACGACTGCTGCACTCTCTGAAATGTACGCTTAAGAAAATGACACCCAAAGCTTCTAGAACATCGTCATAGGGACTCATGTGGGCCCTGCGCTCGTCTCCATCGATCAATATCTGTGTATAATTACGTAGGTGCCCCCACACAGCAAGATGACATCGTACACGACAAATGCACAATTGTCACGGGAACGCGATGAGTACGGAGAAAGCATGTCGCATTTAACCGCCTAGCAGTTTGGCCGAGCACTTCCATATCCAAGAGGCTCTCGTACAAAACATGGCCCCAGAACGCCCAGCTGCAGAATAATGCTACAAAGAAGTCAAATCATCTCCTGTAATCGCTTTCCAATCGGCTAAGCTCATCATCTCCGTCCTTGTGATATCAATCGGCTCGTCCGTCGGCCCTTCTTTCTATACGCGTGTCGTTCGTTCGGAATCGTCGCACATGGCTGTTGCTTGCTGCCTAGTTCTACTTCCGCCCTATATAATCATCTGGGCAACTCCCTGTCCACCAAGCGTCTTGCTGCCCTGGAATTGCTGACCCTTGAAACCAGCAAGCGCATAGAAGACGGCTGCGAGCAGAAGGAAGACGGCCGCGACGATCAGACTTGTAGCCCGGGCAGCGATGCTAGCCCATTGTATGGCGCTCATCGCCGCGTAGATGGCCGCGCGCATGTAGTTGGAGCTGAATTTGCGAATAAAGGTGTCGAACTTGGGTGAAGTCGGGCAGATGCGGAGGAGCAGCGGTATTTCGATGAAGATGATGATGAAGGAGCATACTCTGCGAACTGATTAGCCGTATTCCCAGCGAAGGTGTGGGCGCGGAGAACGTACAAGCACACGATACTAAACGCGATGACCCAGTTGGCGTTGAAGATGTTGGCGATGCCCAGCGCAAAGCAGAGGACTATACACAGTACTCCGGTCCTGCCGAAGAGTTAGTATGACATGCTGCAAGCCGTGGACGTGTGCGTAGCAGCTGGCGTGACTGACCATTGTCCGTAGATACCTGCAAAGATGCCATGTCAGCAACAAGTTACAGGTCCAGCAGCTAGTGTCTTACTGAAATTCCTCGACTTGAACTCTTCTGCGAGCGTCATTTTCGCGGTGTGATTGACTGCGGTATGCTTCTAGCTTTTCGAGGTGATGCGCAAAGTGGTGATTTGGCGATGTGTAGATTGCGGTTCCGGTAGCTTTGTTGCTGGCGCGGGCTGAATGAAGCTCTGGCACAAAGTATCAGGCGAGGTTTGATATCCTTTGTTGGAATGCCGTGCGCCGCGTTGGTGTACGTTGCGCTGCGTAATGTGATTGTGGCTGTGCAGTGAATCGGATTGGGTCGAGTGAATGTTGGTCGGTGCCTGGCGTTGCGATGGCAATGGCTGCGTTGCGTGCTTCTTGGTAGCTCAGCCCTCGGTCGGATCGCGGCTTCCACGTCTACGTAAACTACGCGCTAGTGCTTGCCGAAACCGTCTTGGGCCGGCACTCTGCGCCTGAGAACTCGGACCTGCACCTTCAGTTTCAGAACATTGTGTATGGCCGCGACTGCCTCACCTTGGAATGACTGGAATTTGGAAAGCGAAGGAACCATGGACGCCTCTCGTGCTTGCGTCTGCCGCGCTCGGGCTGGCGCTTTACTACCTACATGCCCAGCAAACAGCCACTTTGACAACTGCGGACCCTGCGCAGGTGAATACAGAACCGTGCCAAGACGACGAAGCGATTCACGTACCAGACGCCATGGATCCGAAGGAGAGAGCGTATCATGAAGGCTTCATGCGCGAGGCTATTGCCATGGTGAGCCACGTCCTTCGCTTTGTACATATTCAGCTATCTGCTGAGTTTACTCCATGTTTGATCCCTCTGCTGACTCATCATCACTGCAGGCTGAACTTGCACTCAAGAGCGATGAGACCCCCGTCGGCTGTGTCTTCGTCAAGGACGGCGAGGTCATTGGACGAGGCATGAACGAGACAAATCGGACCCTGAACGGTACCCGCCACGCCGAGTTCGTCGCCATCGCTGGCATCTTGTCAAAGCACCCCATCAGCATCCTCAACGAGACAGACCTCTATGTCACCGTTGAGCCATGCGTCATGTGCGCGTCCATGCTGCGCCAGTACGGCATCCGAGCCGTCTACTTCGGATGCTGGAACGAGCGTTTTGGTGGCACCGGAGGTGTTCTGAACATTCACTCTGAGTACGTATCCTTCTTTCCTCACAAATACATGCATTGCAAGTACTGACTTCAACAGTGCTAGCGTCGACAAGCCCTATCCAGTCACCGGCGGCATCTTCCGAGAGGAAGCCATCATGTTGCTCCGGAAATTCTACGTCCAAGAGAACGAAAAGGCCCCCGAGCCCAAACAGAAGAAGACGAGGGAGCTGAAGACAGAGATCCTGCCCATGGACGTTCATCAGCCCAAGTCGACCCCATCACCTGCTATTCGTGCTCCGGCTAATGCGACCTCGACCGGATCCATCCCGACACTGTCTTCTTTGAGCGCATCCGCCGCCGCTGCAGCTGTCGCGGTCCCCAAGACTGTGTTTCCCACGCCCGGACAGGCTCGACCCAGCTCTGCCAGCACAGCTCTTGCTTGAAGCACTTACGATAATGCATACTTATACCCAACCATAGACGCTAGGATGAAGGAGTGAAACCGAATGTATAATACCTTATGACTTTTTACCTCAATAAAAACTTGTTGTTCACTGAGACACGTAACTGATTTGGGATGGCTGAGAGTACAATACCTGCATCGTGATTTCGAAAGGAAGCAGAAACGGCAATAGATGGTCGGTACTGAGTTTGGTATTGAAACGGGATCGGGGAGGCTTTTATCCACCTGTATCTTATTTCTCTCCTCCACCACCTGCAACCAACTGCACTACCATGAAGAGAGCAATGGCCCACCAGTATCTGTATAGTAATCAGCAAAACCTCTAATAATGAACCTTGTCCCCCTACGTACTTTTGCAAGAAGGTCTTCTCCGGCTCTTTTCCGTCGAGCTTCCCCTCCGCATTGAGCACGATGGGCTTGTTCAAGACCGGCTTTGGCCCAACATTCCTCTTCCTTATCTCCACCTCCACTTCATCTTCGCTGCCTTTTGCGCTTGTTCCGAATCCAATGTGGAAAGGCTCCCCCTTCTCATCAACGTGAATGATGAACTTCTTGTGGTATTGGTCGGAGAAACTGGCCGCTGACGTGACAATGCCTCGCCATGAGCCAGATTTAGGGTCGGTGAGGCCAACGCGAAGAAGGTGATCAGAGGCGTAGGAGCCTGTGGGTGGTGTGAAGGAGGCTAAAGTGCCAACGGGTTGGTCTGCGTCGTATTCGATCTGCGCAAGCGGAATCGGCGAGGGGATGACGGCGCTGTCCCCTGAGGCTGGAACGGAGGAGACGTAAAGCGTGACCGACGATGCGACCGCAAATGGCAGCAGTAGAAGTCTTGACAGTAGCATCTTGGCGCGATGGTACGGTCCGTTGCTATCTGTACCAATGCAATGGTGTTGGTAACGGGAGCTGGGGCTAGCCACCCGAGAGCAACGGCGAATTGTATCACCGATGGACATTCACTCAAGCGAGCCGTGCTTCCACAACCCCTCATTCTCAAACCATATCTCCTGAGACTTACATACGGTAAAATAATCCTGCAACTCCGCTTGATCCGAAATCGCACCGATAGCCATGATCAGCCGTGATCCAAGACCTCAACTTGCTTTGCGTGGCGTTCTGACCATCCAACACTGGCCCAACAGCATTCGGTATGCCTGAAAAGGTGGATCCGGCGCTCACGATGCCCACAATTCTCAGTCTGATCTGTGAGCAGATCGACGCTCAGGCTCGAGACGACCCTGACGACTGGTAGCCCGATTGCACAAAGGCTGGGGTTGCTGCCCCACCCCCACCATACTAGAGCTCCCCAGAGCTCTTATGAGCTCATCCCGCATTGACAGCTGTATTGTAACTCAACATTATTTCTCGCGTCCTCGGGCTTTCAATTAGCTTTTCTTCAATTCAAAATACCACACTTCTCTCACCTTCCCATACTCATACGCAGCAATGTCGATTCCTTTCCGCCAGACCCAGCGCAAGCAGTCGCGTCAACTGTCAACAGATCCCCGCAATGAGCTCCACCCTCAAGTCGACCACTACATCGGTATCGATGTTGGTACCGGTAGTGCTAGAGCCTGTATCATGAACGATCAGGGAGACATTGTTGGACTGGCCTCAGAGAACATTGGCCTATGGCAACCACAGACTGGCTACTATGTACTTGACCCGCAACAGGTACATTGCGAGAGCCAAAGCTAAAGCGAACCTAGGAACAATCCACAACAGACATCTGGCGATGCATCTGCTCCTCAGTCCGCCGAGCCATGGATCAGCACAACATCGACTCAAGCACTATCCGTGGTATCGGTTTCGATGCGACCTGCTCGCTTGCAGTATTCAGAGACGACACAGATGAGCCTGTCGCCGTCACTGGACCAAACTTTGACAACAAGGACGGCAACGACCGCAACGTCATTCTGTGGCTCGACCACCGACCTGTTGAGGAAACAAACAAGATCAACGCCACCAAGCACAACCTGCTTCGCTACGTCGGAGGCAAGATGTCCATCGAGATGGAGATCCCCAAGGTATTGTGGCTGAAGAACAACATGCCGAAGGAGCTATTCGATCGTTGCAAGTTCTACGATCTGACCGATGCTCTCACACATCTGGCTACCGGCAGTGAGAGCAGAAGCTACTGCAGTGTGGTCTGCAAGCAGGGATTTGTACCTGTTGGAGTCGATGGTAGTGTCAAAGGCTGGCAGGAAGACTTCCTCAAGGAGATCGGCCTCGAAGATCTATGCGAAGACAACTTCAAGCGCATGGGAGGCGTTGACAATGTGGTTTGTCCTTCGCTACTATTCTCGACGGTCCCGGCTAACAAGCACACAGAACGGACGCTACCTCACTGCGGGCGAGCTCGTCGGCACACTCAGCGAGAAGGCGGCACAGGAGATGGGTCTGCAACCCGGTATTGCAGTCGGAAGTGGAGTCATCGACGCCTACGCTGGCTGGATCGGTACCGTTGGCGCCAAAGTCAAGCTCGATGGGGATACTCTTGACATGGACCAGCCCAAGAACGATGTTTCGCAAGCCTTCACGCGTCTCGCAGCCGTAGCTGGAACATCGACCTGCCACCTTGCCATGTCACGCGAGCCCGTCTTCGTCGACGGTGTCTGGGGTCCATACCGAGACGTCCTTTTACCAGACTACTGGATGGCAGAAGGAGGACAAAGTGCGACAGGTGAACTACTCAAGCATGTTATTGAGACACACCCAGCCTTCAACGAAGCCGTGTCCGTCGCTGAAACGTACAACACCAACATCTACGACTACCTCAACGAACATCTCCGCGAGATGGCAGACGCGGAGAAAGCCCCACACATTGCCTGGCTTGGACGTCACTTCTTCTTCTATGGTGACCTCTTCGGCAACCGCTCCCCTATCGCCGACCCCAACATGAAGGGATCTGTCATCGGTCTGAGCTCCGACAAGAGCCTCGACGGCCTGGCACTATACTACTACGCGACCATGGAGTTCATTGCCCTTCAGACACACCAGATTGTTTCTGCGATGAACGCCTCCGGCCACGTCATCTCTTCCATCTTCATGTCCGGTTCACAGTGCCAGAACAGTTTGCTGATGCAGCTCATGGCCACTGCGTGCGACATGCCGGTCCTGATTCCACGATACGTACACGCAGCTGTAGTGCACGGCGCGGCTATGTTGGGTGCAAAGGCGGCCAGTACCGACAAGGACGGAAACAGCGAGCCGCTCTGGGATATCATGGACAGACTGAGCAAGCCCGGTAAGACCGTGAAGCCACTGGCTGATAAGACGGTCAAGAAGCTATTGGACGCCAAATACAAGGTGTTCTTGGAGCAGTGTGAGGGCCAGCAGAGGTACAGGAAGGAGGTCGATGCCGCCATTGAAGGATGGGCTAGCAAGTAAATATCACAAGTGGTAGTAGTCAAGGACACGACGATGAAGGGGATGATATCCATCATTAATTAGAAATTTATTCTGGCCACAAGACACTTGCCGAGGAGATCGTTGGTGCATGTTGTGTGTATAACCCAACTCCCCGCTTATGCCATCGGATATGGAAACTGCATGGCTGCTCCGAGTGTTGTAAGTCTTGAAACCCGGCTGCATGCAGTCTGCTCGTTGCTATCGTCTGTAAAAGGGTATATCGTACAGGGGAAATTGAAGAAGATGTGTGCCGGCCGTTGAGCTCTAGTATCGTCGGCGGGGTCCACGTGGTGGTTCTCTGCGACTAGCGTCGTTGAAGCCGTATCGTCCATCTTGGAAGCTACCAGCGCGTGCGCTCGCACCGGTGTCGATGTCCATGTCATCCATGGACTGCGTAAGGCGGGCAGGCGGTGCTCGTGCGACGTGGGTGCTCGCGGGGACATCCTTCATGTAGACGTAGAGGAGTCTGCCATCAGCCTGTTGATGGAGTTAGTTTTAGTCCAGCAAAGAAGAAGCTCGCCGGAACACTGACCTTCTGGTTGTTGAACGTCGCGATGACATTCTCGGCGCCCTCCCTGCTCACAAACTGCAGCTCGACCATGACCGTCGGGCTGGAAGATAAGAGCCTGCAGCCCAGCGTCTCTCCTCCAATCGGGGTCATGACGGCCTCGATATCAGCGGCCGTTGTTCCAGGTGCAAAGTTGCTAGCAATGACGGTACACGGACCGCCCGTCGCGGCACCTCGAATGCTAATGCCCGGTGCAGCGTCATTGCTGCGTGTAGCCGCAGCGCGACCAAGGACGGGAGCAAATTTGGTGTACACTTTGCTGTTGCGCTCGACCTGGGATGCTGACGCCGTCCGAGCGAGGTTGTTCCTGCTGTTGGCGGCACCGCGGGGGTTGTTCAGCTTGTGCAGATCGTGTTGCCATTTCCCGTCGACGTTGCCGGCTGGCTTCGCGCTCGCTGATCGCTTCTGGACGCCAGCACCACCGTTTATCCGACTGAGCAGCGATGGCTTTTCAGATTCAACTCGCGCCCGGCCGCCGGCGCCTGGTGCATTCGCTTTCCGGCCTCGGCTGCCAGCTCCGAGGAACTGTTGCGCGAGGGCTTCGTTCTTCTTCTTCTCGCGGGTCTGCTTGACGAAACTCTCGAAAGACGCGGTGGTTGAGGCGACCATGTTGAGCGACGGTAGAAATGGAGAGTAGTGGTGGTGGTCTGGTATGGAGTGGAAGCGCGTAAGTGTCGGCCTAAGGACAACCAGCGAGCGCGTCCACGAGAACCTTGACCCGCTTGGATGGAAGCTCGGGCCACGACCCGCCCGGCGAAACGAAACACCGCCGCGAAAAGTTCCCGTACAAAACTTGAGCCTGCAGCTTCTCTCTCTCACTCCAACAACGCGCCCAACTTTTGGTAAGTCAACACACCCGCTCTTTCTTTGTTTCCTGTTGCTATCATGATGAACACTTGTGTCGCCCCTATCATACATTCTATGGTGATCCGACCACTCAAGCCAAACGAGAATACTGATCTTCCGCAACATCTACCAATCTGTTACTAGAAGTTTTTTCAGGACATCAGCTAACAAATTATAAAGGTCCCATTGTTCTCAGTCACAGTATGACTTCGCGATCATGATGCGCCATTAGATGCGCTGCCGCCGACGTGCGGTCCGTAGCTCCACGAAGCCTTCCGTCCATCGCATATCCTATCCGTCCGTTGGTTACAAGCAATAGCAGACCTCGACATGATGTGTTCGCGACGGCAAGGCTTCGTGGGCTGCGATAGAGTTTTGAAAGGTTAGACTACACCCCCATACCCCAAGCACCCATCCTTAGATGATGAGCAACAAATGTATTATCAAATACCGACCACTTCGTGGGGAATAAACTAGTTCGATTACCTGAATATCTTTCCACTCCCGAGCCTTTGTCAAAACGTCTTCTTGTGGAACCGTTACTGACATCGCTCTAGGTATGCACTAGATTGAAAGCTCACTTGATACGGCTACCAGCTCTCATTGAAAAGGTACATAACCATTCTCTCTTCTTTCCCTTTGCAATGATGAACACCAATTCATGCTAACTCAGACGGGGTTCGCCTCACTGATTGAAAAAACATTCGAGACTTTTCATCTTTCGGCTGATTGCTCTCTCACCTGCATCTTTGTTCAGAATCATAGCCTACGTTCTATGCTAACTGTCAATCGCAGATCACTCAATGTCGATACGATCTATACCAACTGCGCTCCTCTTTCGACCGAACAAGTGGCGTCAACGCAAGATGGATGAAGTCGAGGCATCTTGGCATCACTGGAAACCAGCTTGTTCGGTCGATAGGCGTTCGTCGACACGTAGATGGCTATATATATTCATTCATTCTTGTTAAACATGACTGCTTCACCGTTGCGAACCTTGTATCTGCGCATGTACATGCTACACTAAAGACGTGAGATTTCCGCATGCCATACATGCACTGAGATTGTAAAATGAAACATGCTAGCAGACAATGTGGACACCTGCGGCAATGCTGCATAAATTCATCTGGTTACTTTATCCTCATGTAGAGTGCAAAAGGAATTTAGAGGTCTCTTCCTTGTCCAAGCTGATACCAGGACTGGGGACGCGCAGCGGTTCCGGAGTTTGGGGAACGATCTCGAATGATCTCCGGACACTTGAAACAATTCCCCAACCCAACGTTGACAGCACAGCTAACACGCACTCGTAACGCATATCAAGATGGCAGCGAAGCCCGAAGACGTAAGCACAGTACCCACGGAAGGCGCCGGTCTATTCAGTGGAGCAGGCCCGGAGAAGCAGCCCGAGCCTAATCCTGTAGCCGACTCTGCCGACAAGAAGGACGATGGAGATGCCGTCGACAGCGCAACCGCAGCAGTAGCAGATCTCTCGGTCGACGAGAAGAAAGAGGAAGCAAAGCCGACAGAAGTCACACCTGAAGCTACTGCCCCAGCTCCCGAGGCCGCTCCCGAAGCCGCATCCAGCGACGCCAAACCCGAGCCCAGCACCGTAACACCCACCCAAGGCCCCATCTGGCCCGAGACCACACCCGACCACCCACTCACAAAGTTCTACGATGCCTTCGAAGCCCTCACCACCGAAGCTCAACACAATGAAGTCTACGGCATCGAGCTGAGCAAGTCGAAGCCTTTCCATACCAAGCTCATACTACAAAAGTTCCTCCGGGCCAACCAGAATGATGTGGACAAAGCCAAGTCACAGCTGCTTGACACGCTGAAGTGGAGGAAGGAGTTTGATCCAATCAAGGCAGCGGGGGAGACATTCCCGAAGAACAAGTTTGATGGATTAGGATACGTGCTGGAGGTTGAGGGTGTACCCGAGAGCCCCAACAAGAAGGACATTGTTACCTTCAACATCTACGGAGCTGTCAAGGACAACAAGGCTACCTTTGGCGATCTAGATGGGTATGCTTCCCCCTTTCCCAACCCCATACAAAAACACCATGCTAACATAACCCCATAGCTTCCTCCGCTGGCGCGTAGGCCTGATGGAGAAGTCCGTCCAAGCGCTCAACCTGCCCGCCGCCACAACGCCCATCCCCAACTTCGGCGAAGGCCCCGACCCATACCAAGGGTTCCAAATCCACGACTACCTCCAAGTCTCCTTCCTCCGCCGTGACCCCCTCGTCAAGACCGCGACCAACAAGACTATCGAGATACTAGGGCGCCACTACCCTGAGACGCTGAGCAGGAAGTTCTTCGTTAATGTACCTGTGGTCATGGGCTGGCTGTTCAATGCGATGAAGTTGGTTGTGGCCAAGGAGACGAGCAAGAAGTTTGTTGTTCTGAGTTATGGTAATCAGCTTGCTGCTGAGCTGGGTAAGGGTGTTCCGAAGAGCTATGGTGGTGAGAGGGGAGAGTTGGCTGAGTGCGCTGAGGGTATGAAGATGGAGTGATCACACGAGTCGCATACACTGGTGCTATGGGGAGGGGAAGATCGTAATGGTAGGAGACGAAAGAAGCGACTCAGCGTGCTTGTTTGACTTAGGCCTTGTTATACCCCACTCAAAATTGTTCAGTCCTTTCGAGAACAATGTAGTCAAGAACAAATGTTTTCATACTAAACTGAAATACTGCACATGTACTTGTAACTTCGAAAAGCATTGTCATCATGCTCAGTGAACAAAAGCTGTATGCGTAAACAGCTGGATATCATTACTCTTCTTTGCCTTCATCTTCTCTCGGCACCACCGCTCTGTCAACCCAGCCCTCGCCCCTCAACACACCCAAGCCCTTCCTCGCAACACCACTGTTGACTGACCTGGGCGACACCTCGTACAGAGCATTAACCGTCGCTAAACTAACAACAAAGAGCAGAACATCTCCGTTCTTGAAACCCTTCCACCACCCCCTCTTCACACCCACCTTCCACATGGAATCGATCGACATCCTCGCCGTATAAAGGAAGTTACTTCTTCCACCTTTCCTCTCCAAGAAGGCCCAGAGTCCGCCTATGAAACCACCCAGGAACCAGCGTTGCGTGGAAAGGAAGGCCCGGGGAAGTATGTTTTGGAAGAGACAGATGGATCCCCAGCTCGTTCCTATAGCGCCAGAGAGGAAGAGCGACATGCGCAGTATGCGCTTGGCTAGACTGTTCAACGAGGCAATGGGAGCGGAGAGGAAGGCTTTGTATTTCGTGATGCTCATGGCTGTGAAGAAGAGCGTGAAGAAGCGGGCGATTTTGGGGAAGGCTTGGATCCAGTATTGGACGTAGGTGCGTAGACAGGACGGGTCTTGCGGGTGGAGTAAGGCGCATGACAGGGACTTGATCGCTGGATGCGCGGGAGACGTTATCGGAGAGATGGATGTCAACCGCTTTGGTAGCGTTTCAGCGTTGGGGAAGAGAATCGGCGAGACGAAGGGTGGCCAGCGCTGTCGCGAGATCTCTGCCAGGTTGTCCACTATGTCAAATGTGCCTGGCCAGGGTGCGGTGCTGGGATAGTCTTCGGGGCGTTTCTGTATATACTCTGGCGAGTTCTTCAAGATATGGTCTCCGAATCCAGAGGGGAAACAGTCGCGGTCGAAGACAAAAGCGTGCAGTAGCTGTCCGCAAGCGACTGGCATGATCATCCAGGAGCCGAACCAACTGGGCCTGTTCTTCATGTACCCCAGCTCCTCCAGGTAGTTGTAGCCAAATTCCAGGGCCCTTGTCATGATGTAGATGGCGATTGTGACGCGCAGCTGATCCCCTGGGTACACGGCGAGGAAGAAGCCTGCTAAGCTGGATCCAATGGCCGGTGCCAACTTGGATGTCAAGGAACGTGATACGCGTGGGTTCCGCCGCCGGAACGACTTGCCTTCATGGCTGAGTAGGCTCTCGCGGATGCGCACGAAGATGCGCCGGAGGAGGCGGTGGAAAAGGAGTATGAGGGCGAGGGAGCTGCTGAGGCGGACGTTGGGTGACTTGAAGACGGAGGTTCTGGGCTGGTTCCTAAGGGATTGTCAACGCACACCTTCTTGAACGCGAAAGGACGTATGCTCACCTGTTCGCTGTTCCCCGCGACAGAAGCCTGGTCTTGACTACTTCCCATGCCTTCAGCCCCGAGAAGGTCACGATGCCTAACCGCAGTGCCGCGCGGAAGGCGGCTACATTGTAATCATCCGGACCCTTGACAATAGCGTCGTATCGTTTCGGGGTTATCGTGCGCTTCTTGACAACCGGCGCGCGCGAAAGGAGGTACTGGTGCAGCAGCTGGTACTCCTTTGCCGAGATGGTGTAGCGGAGCGCATTGCGCAGTATCGGGTCGATTGGTTGCGATTTAGCGGGGCCCGGCGTGGGCTGCGATGCGCCAGACGACATGGTGGGCGTCTGCGAGTGTATTCGGGCTCATAGTTTGAGGGGCTGTTGTTATTGTCATTAGACGGCACACGCGGAGTCTGGGGAAGCTAGCATTGATGACGATCCCTGGAGGTTGCGCACAGGAGCCGCTCTTGACGGACCTCGGCAGTTTGGCCATCGACCCCAATCTTCTCACATGCGAACGACATTTCTTAGTCTGGGGCTACCCTAGCCCAGAGAGCTATCCCGTGGTCCACATATTGGTGTCTACTAAGACTTGGTCTGTACGCGCATCTCTTACTACACGTTGCGCAAACAAACGTCATCACGAGAGAACGAGTATCAGTTGTAAATCACATATGTATACTTGTCTATATACTCTATGGTTCCAAGGAAAACCCATGTATTACACCATCGCTTCTTCAGATGCGGACTGTGTATCATGTTTCGCACCAACCGCTAAATACAAACAGTGAAGACATAGAAAAGGAAAGCTGCACTACATTAAAATGTATAGCGTCTACAATGCGAACAAGGCAAGAACCGCACCGAACAGAGCACCCTTGGGCACAACGTTGAAGGGCGAGGCAGCGCCAGTGAACTCAGCTGGCGAAGAGGGACGGACGGCACCAGTACCCGTGGCAGTGCCCATTGGAACGGTGGCGGTTCCCATGGTGGAGGGGATGGGGTAGGGCGCACCACCGGCAGGTGTGGTGGCAGCTGGGGTTTGAGGAGGCTCAGCAGTGCCGGGAACAAGAGCAACGGGCTCAGTTGGGTTGGCGCCAGCAGAGGCGGGCTGAGTGGTGAAGTGAACTTGAGGGACGGTAAGAGTAGTTGTGCCGAACGTGATGGTGGTGCAAGGTGTCTCCTCAGCAGGGGTTTCACCAGCAGCAGTGGTGGTGCCAACGACCTCGGTCATGGTTGCAGAAGAGACAGCGGTGGTGATAGCAGGAGTCTCGCCGGCAGCAGTGGTGGTGCTAGCAGCGGGAGTCTCATCAGGGTAACCGGGGCCGTAGGCGCTGGAAGCAGGGGCAGAGGGAGCGGCAGAGCTCTCACCACCAGCAGGGGGAGCGGGAGGAGCAGAAGGAGCAGCGGGGGTAGGGTTCAAAGGAATGTATGAAGGGCAGTCTCCAACAATGGAAGGGTTCTCGGGGACATGCTGGGCACAGATACCGATGAAGTATTGCAGACCCTTGCTGATCTCGTCATCGCTACCGCAGCGGGCAGAGATGCAGTCAATGACGTTCTTGGTGAACTCAGGCTTGAGGCAGTAGCAGCTGGAGTCGGTGTTGTCCTTGCAGTCTGGAGCCGAGATCTGGAGCCACGAGTTCATGCACTTGGGAACCGAGTCGGTGATGTCGACGGGAGGGTAGCTGGGGCTGGAAGGCTGAGGAGCGGCTGAGCTGGTAGCAGGGACAGCAGATGTGACAACGGCAGACGAAACAACGGCGGAGGAGACAATAGCGGAAGAGGCTACAACAGTGGATGACTGCTCGCAAGACTCTCCGTATCCGCAGCCAGCAGCAGCAGAGCTCTCAGATGTGGGTGGCACAACAACAGTGGAAGACTCCGGTTGGGGGGTAGCGGTGCTGATGGAAGGAACCGACGCAGGGTAGCTGGTGATCTCCACGGCGGAGGAAGCTGGAGGAGTGTAGGCGGGCATGGAGCTGTTGGTGTAGGGAGCAGCTGAAGAGGCAGGGGTCTCGGCGGGTGGGCATCCCTCTCCACCGTACTGTCCACACTCGTTGGCCGAAGTGGCGGGAGTCTCGACAGCGGATGAAGAAGCAGGGGTCTCAACAGCAGATGAGACGACGGTAGTCTCGATGGCAGAGTAAGCCGTAGTCTCAACAGCGGAAGAAACAGCGCTGGAGGCTGGGGCAGTCGACGACTCGATGGCGATGGTGGAAGACTGAACCTCGCTTGAGGCGGGGACCTCAGGTGGAGGGGGCGGCGAAGGGGGCGAAGGAGGAGTGTATGGTTTCTCAGCGTCACAGTCGAAGCCGATGTTGTGGAAACCGATCTCGCAAGACTCCTTGTCACCCTTGTAGTGAGATCCAAGGTAGACCTCGACGGACTTTGCGCCACCACACTGGGTGTTCTGCAGTGTTGATCCACCAGCCGAGCAGCTACTGTGTTGCTTGCAGATGGATCCGTCTCCCATCTTGTAGTGGAGCTCGAGCTCAGCGTCGAACTCAGCCGAGACGTCCATGTGAGTAATGGAGAAACCGCGCTGGGCACAGCCAAATGCAGCGGGCTTGTTCTTCTGGATGGTGTTCTTGATGCACTTGTTTCCAAAGGTTCGCTTGCTCAGAGAGTCCCGCTTGCCGAAGGAGTTTGAGCATTTCCAGCCCCCAGAGAAGTCGAAGTCTCCATAGTTGCCGACATCCTGGCCATCGATAAGATCGGCCCAGTTGAAGCCGCCCTTCTGCTTATCGTCGCAGACGTTGTTGCTGTAGTCGGGAGTGCCGAAGTTGTCGAAGAAGTTCCAGGTGGCCGCGGCTTGTTGAGTGGCGAGGCCAGTGACCAAGAGAGCGTAGGTAGACTTCATGGTGATATATGAACGTCGAAATCGAATTTAGGTAGTAAAGCGAATATCAATGTATGTTGTAGTTGGACCTTAACGAATGACGGTCTAACAAGAGAACAAAGTCAAAAAGAGTGCGACTATGTTCGTCTTGGGAAGCGAAAGTAGCAGCAAATGCAATGCTGAGATTAGAAAACAAAGCGTGTGTAGATGTACTGAGGGGAAGGACGAAGGGTCAAGATATACTTCTACCACCAGCGCTCGTTCGAAACAAGCCGTCTCGAAACATTTCTAAAGGATTGGTCCGCCGAGGGCCTCCGACTCGCATGCTCAGCCACGATCAGAACGAGTCGCCCAAGGAGGTTCCATGTCGGTCGTTGTCGCGCGCTCTGCAGGCCCACTCGGCAGTAGGGTCGTCGGTTACAAGATGGCCTGGCTAAAGATGGTGGACACCAGTCAGATGGCTCTGGCGTGAGCACATCGTAAGCGAACAGGGGCGCTTTCCGAAACGCCCTAAATAGCCCACCGGAGTAGACTATCATGCAGGTACGAGCCAATGGCGTTGGCAGTGTGTATTTTGGCAAGCCAAGAGCGTCAAGTATATTGTGCGACAGGCCAACGACTGGTCGGGGTCCAGAGTCAGTCGTACGGGTAGAAACGCAGAGCCGCAGGCTGTCGAAGGTCATCGCACCCAGCTCTGTTGCCTTTCGGATCACCTTCAGTAGCGATACTTCGAATGCGCCAATGTCTTACATACGGGCATCTGGAGGGTTCCATTCTTGCTCACCTCCTGCATCTTCTCCACTCCGTTCATTCTCCTGCATCCGTCCAGAGCCGTATTGCCTAGCCAAGTCGATCTCCGTTGCCTGTATTTCCTTTTTGGGCGGAGCCGCCGACCAACTATAGCCATGACGCTGTCGTTCTGAAGAATATGCACGAGCGTGTTTCATGGGTGTTCCGCCATCGCTGCGGCCAACGAGCGTCAGGAACAACAAGCTTCGAGTGACATACATCCTAGGCCGATCGGAAGGTCGTGTCTCAAAGGCTTGGTTGCTTTATTGGAAGGAGCGTGGCATGAACGAGAGCTTTGAAGTGCCGTGGGAAAGCCATCGGCTCGTCGTGTTAACACCTCAGGTACTTCTGGTCGAGTTGGGCGGGCAAGCGAGCCCATGTCAGGAAATGCGCGATTCATCGGCCGCAAACAACTCAACATCCCTCTGCAAATCAATACTGTGCACTATCGAAAAGCTGATCTGACTTCTAAATGGAGGTTGCGGTTGCCTGCCTCTCAGACATTGCGCATCATGCAAGGATAAGACAACAAGCTTTAGAGACATGGCGCACGGGTACCTTGCAGCGTGTGGAACAGGGCAAAAAGATGTCGTGAACGGCCGGGAGTGGCGGTGTCAGCTCGGAACACAGGCGCAGACGATTGCTTCGTGAGCGCGGGAATGACGGCACCTTGAGTTCGTGACTCGCGATGAACCGTGCTACGAGGTGTCACGACACGAGTACACAAGCGAACTCGGCTATGTGTTGAACTTGGGTTTATCCGAGGCTTTCAGATTATGGTGAAGTAGCACAGAAGATGGCAACAATACTCCATCCTTCAGCTGAAGAGCTGTTTCGATTACATCTCACTACCTCGGGGTATTGTCGGGTTGCCCCTTCGGAGTGCCCTGACACATTGCTATTCTCGTACTTCCCGTGTCCAAGGCATCCCAGCCGTTTCAAGAATTCATCCGTGATGGAGGACCTCGCATGAACGACTGACTTTATGCTATGTTCTACCCCAGTGCTCTCAGCTGTACACTCGACAACGGCAGTTACTGTGACTTGGGCCTGTGGAAAATGTGTCTTATTGTTCTTGTTGCCAAACATGCAAATGGCAACAGTGATCTATGCCAATGTAAATACAGTAAACGCCAAGAGACCTATGCTAAACGCCAATGCCTTGTGTTCTGGTATCGTTGCCGTTGTACCCAAGACGCCGAGGAGCAAGCTCGCTTTTTACAAGCGAGTCGATATGGAAAAACGAACAAACCAAAATGCCATGCCAACTTCTCGTCTATAACCAAACTGATGCTTATCGTGCGCGAGACCTGCTGCACCGATTACTCTTGATCTTCTACTACAATGCGAACCACTTCGCTCCGACGACGCTCCTTGGTCAGATAGTCGCTAGCCACGTTACGCACTCGTGCGTGACACTCGTGCGCTGCGCGATTGAGAAAGGGCACCTGAAGAGCTCCGCAAATTGCGACCAGAGCGGAACCCCACCAAGCTAAAGGCGTGAAGTGAAGCTCGAGAGAGAGGCCGTACAGCAAACCGGCGATGGGACTTGCTACTGTACGGCAGGCAGCGCCGGTAGATGCAGCCAACCCGTTGATTCTCCCAAGATGCGATCTATCGGGCGTAGCTTCTTTGATCATGATCAGAAGGAGGGGGAAGGCGAGAATCGACGTCAAGTTCCGTACGGTCAAGCAAGCGAACAGACCAGGATAGACCAAGTTCTCAGGAAGAAGCTGTAAGAAAGGAACAATAAAGTATGCGATCGGATGTGCCAGTGTGACCATGAGAAGCAGACGCCATACGCCAAAGCAATCCGCCAGTAGAGGGAAGACGAAGCCCTGGATCACGAGCTGGATGATGCCGTTGAGGGAAAGAATAATGCCCACATTCTGAATGGGTATGCCAAGCCCACCTCCCAATGACGAAGGCGAAAGGTCGAGCGCGTTCATGTCATCGTCGGCGCGTTTGTCTTGGAGGAAGATGGGGAGCAAGTGATCGTATGTCATCTAGTATACAATTAGCCGGTTATTCGTTCGTTATGATGGACTAGGAGACTTACGGAATGGTACGTGAAGATACCTAGGGCGACGACGAACATGATGACTGGACGTGTGAAGACCTTCTCACTCGTCGGAGATTCTACCCAGTCGCCGTTAGAGCGCACCCGCCAGATTTCATCGTGTTCGACTTCCACGGCGTTGAAGGTGCCGTAAGATTCCGCGGTCAGGTTTGCCGACGCATCGGCCGTCGCGCCTTGAGCTGGCAGAAGAGGTGTCTCTGCGACCGCCGCATCGTATTGTTCGAAGTAGCCTCGTGGCTGCTTGTCCGGGTGAGTCTCCTCTAGAAGGAAGTATGCCATGAAGATGGAGAGCAGAAGCAAGGAAGCGCAGATGATATTTGGAAGTAGGTAAGGGAACTTCGCAAAAAGGCCTGTGGGGCTGAAGACAGATGGGAAGTTACGAGCAGGCTCAGCAAAGTATCCACCAATAGACGCTGTTGTAGTTAGTATAAATAAGCAGGAGTCGATGGATTGATCTTGTCTTACGGCCAATGATGGTACCAATGCTCCAGACGAATGGCATGACTGCGTACGCCTTTGCTGTTTCTAGTTAGCAACGCCTGACAGAAGTAATTGTGGTCACTTACGTTCATGCTCTGGTCGCTTGACCAACTCTCCAACCATGGTCTGGATGACGCCAATGTTGCCATTGAGTGCGCCGCCGATGATTCGTCCAAGGAGCGCGACCCAAAAGTTTGGAGCTAAGCCAACAAGTAGCAAAGAGGACATTGTCCCAAGACATCCAAGTATGACGACGGGTTTTCTACCTATACGGTCGGAGACTGAGCCCCAATACATGCCTGAACATGCCTCGGCGAGCGAGAAGGCAGAGATGAGCAGGCCGGCAAAGAACGGTGCGCTCGTTTCGGACCCAACTTGGAAGTTGGTGACGAGTTTCCAGGCGTATGGGAGTATCGAAGTAAGGGCAATTGGCTCTGCGACTCGAACCAGCGCTGGAGTGTGTTGTCAGTGCGAGGCTCGGGCGAACAACAACTAGTGTCGGTGGCATGGGAAAACCATACCTAGGAGGCCGAGCTGAGCGGCGGGAAATTTGTCTTGGGTGGCTTCGGGGGCATCTTGAGGGCTTGTTCTTCGGTTCTTGGTAAGAAATGACATTCTGCAACCTGATTTGGTTCTTACGGCTTCGCCAACACGCAGTCGTCGTCTGGCTCGGGGGTGGCTTGCTATGTGAGTAGAGCTTTCTCTGCGTTTGGCCTTGAATAACCCAGTAACAAACAAAAACGCACGATGGCCGGGAACAAAGGTTGTGCGATGGCGGTGTGTGGTACAAGAACGCAGAGTAGAAGAGGGAAAGTTCTGGCACCTGGGTCGGTGCCACCTGCCGTCCAACCAGCGGGTGCACTAGAACGGGACGATCGGCAGTCCTTGGCGAGCATATTTCTCTGCTTTTCTATCTACACTCATCGGCCTGCTCAACACAAGACCTTCTCACTCGCGGTTGTCCATCTCGATGTCTACTTGACTTTCACATACCCGCTGATTTTCCCGCAAAGATGCCGCTGGAGCGACATTGGGGAACCTTGTTGTTCTATTCCCCGGTGAGCCCCACAAGGCGCGGTGGCAATAGTCAAACGCTAAACTTGGAAGCGACTTAGTGTCAATGGCCGTTTCCGCGGCTCATTTGGTACGGGTCCCATCAACTGATCATCCGTCGAACGTCATCTTTGCTATGACAGTCGCTTGCCCATTTTTGCATCGTCTCCCGAAGTGTTGTCTCCAGGTGTTCCACGGACCGGGTACCACACACAACGTGGAAAGTCCAGACATCGAAACCACCTTCAAGCCCAGGACGGCCAAGGACGAGCTAACTCTTGCCCTGCATTTGAGCCAATCAAGGCCCGGCCGTACCTTTTTGCAACACCACCAGCTTAGATGTAGTGCTACCGCCTCGATACGCTATCTTCTCGCGATAAGAAGTTTGCATACAGTCTCCTAAAATCATTTCGCAACCCTCGGAGCTGTACCATCATGCGTTCCGGGGTGAACGCAGATGTGTGCGCTTGCGAATGATCGTAGTTTCCAGCCACTGAGTTCAACGGACAAGAATTCGTAAGTGTCGTGTTCACATTGATGAGACAGAAGGGAGGCTAGTCCATCGAATCCGCTACGATAACTACACGTTCTGAAAGTATTGAATTCCGTGCAACGGAAA